TTGGATCGCCGGCCTGTCCTCTACTGCCGCTACGTAGACGATTGCTTCATCGCCTGCTCAACCCAGAAAAAATGGTCACCTGCTTCGAATTGCTGAACAGCCAGGCTGACAACATACGGTTCACACGAGAGAAGCCAAATGACAAGTGATTGCCGTTTCTCAACATGCAGGTCCAGCTTGAGCGAGGGTCCCGGCGGACAAAATGGTACAGGAAGCCCACCAGCAAGTATGTTTTAGTCCATTTCAGGTCGGCGCATCCACGCAAAAACAAGCGGGATATCACGGCGAATATGATCAGAACTGCGAAAATGGTCTCATCGGGGGTAAAGAACAAGTAGAATCCGTAGAACTCGCTAGAAAGGTGGCTCTCTCCAATGAGTATCCCCTGAGGGACCAGCACTATGACAGACCACCCCAACGAAAACCACAAGAGCCAAGAGCTGAGATTTTTGCCTTCCTTTCGTTTCGGACTCCGTCAATCTAGACGTGAGAATGGCCTTGCGAAAGTGTGGACTCGATGATACGGTCCGGGTGGTTGAAGTCCCCCTAGAAATCCAAAGCAGAGGCTGGTACAAAACCGTCTCATTGATCGTTCCTGCACGACCCCCCACTGTATCATCTGTCCCAACGGGCGAGAGGGTGACTGCATGACGTTAGGTGTGATCTACTTGATCACATGCAACCTCTGTGGAGACGAGTACATAGGCGAGACCGGAAGACCTCTAATATGCAGAGTTAAGGAACATCTGGATGGTCTGAAGAAATCAAGGCCTAAAACGCCCCTGGGAGACCATAGGAGGGGTATCTATCAGGGTCTTGATGCGGGAACCCACGACCTCAGCGCGAAAGACTCTTAAAGCTTTCTGGATCAGCGCCAAAAATCCAAAAATGAGTCGGAAGGATGAATATCTGGCTGTAACAAACGAGCTCGCCCCGTTCCTCGACCTGTGTGGTTTTCATCTGCCACCGGCGTCTGAGGTAGAGGTCAGGACACTCGGGCCCACCCACTATGAATAGTATAAGTACGCAATTCAAAAAAGGAGGGTCAACGATTGTGACATCTAGGGCGGGTTACCTATTGTGACTTACAATACTTTCACAGATTTCTATAGGCTACACCTAAGCTAAGCTGAGGTCTGAACGTCGTTTGGTCAGGATGAGTCTCGAATATTTTTTGGCTTCCAGGCTCTGACGAAGGCGATTGGCCGAAACGTTAGCCGAATAAAACTTTGTATCATCTTGGTCGTGGCTTCAGAGAGACCTCCAATGCTGAGATCGAAAAAAGGTGAACAACGATGATTCGATCCACAAAGGTCCAATCCGAATAGACACTCAGTATTGAGTTTGGCTTTAAAAAATAGACAACAAAACTTACTAGACGTGTAAACGAGTCATTCGCTTCACTAACGTTATTCGCCGGAGCTTGCACATTTTGGTGGCGACTGCAAAATATAATCATATAAAAAATTTGCAAATTAATAACAAAATAAGAAATACACTGATTCCCAGACGTACCTATCTTGTCTGTTCGAAATGCTCCATTTCCTCGAATCATGTTCCGTCTCACGGTCAATGTGGACTGGATAGCTGGAATCTCGACAGTTGTTGCGGTCTTCTCTGAAACACCACTCGTTTTGAAGTAGCTCGATTACAACATAAAAAGTTTGGATTACATCCAGAACACCCACCGCCGATCATAGTTGCGCGACTCATTCCGTTGCCGGCTGGCACTTTCAAATGTGCGCTTGTTATCTGCGTAGACGCGACTGCTGGTATTGTCATAGCCAAAGCGTTGTGAAATTTCGGGAGACATTTCCCCAGTCACCGTATTTCGAGAACACACCCGATGTTGAGGACGACGTATACAGCTTTCGTCAAAAATTCGGTTGAATACCGACCCCGGTGGAAGGTGTGGATAGGGGAGATTTCGACCACTTTCAGTTGTTGGACGGCCATTTTGCGATGGTTCACGAGAAGATATTTTCCCAGTCACCGAATTTCTAGTAGTTACAAGACGTTGAGGACGACGTATACAGCTTTCGTCAAAAATTCGGTTGAATATCGACCCCGGTGGAAGGTGTGGATAGGGGAGGTTTCGACCACTTTCAGTTGTTGAACGGCCCTTTCGCGATGGTTCACGAGCCTCATAACAGTCATTGTCAGCGTATCGATCTGTACGATATCGAAAGTTCTGCTCTTCGCGAATACGGCTTTCTCTGTAAAGTCATTTATTAAAAAGGACACGCGCTTGGCTTCGTAGAAAAAATGAGCTTTCGGAATTGCTGGAAGCACACCTTCCATATGATCCCTGACGTGATAAAAAAGGGCCATCATCTCTACGATATTCATCTCGATCCTGAAAAAGCTCGAATTTTAAACAACGATTACGCTCATCGAGCTAGGAAACCACATTGTCTCAAACACACATCATCTTCGAAAGAACGTGAGCTGGTAAGGAGCACAGGTACCCCCTGTTGGAATTCGTTGTTTCTTCTACGTTCGGGTTGGCTTTGTTGTAATTCGTCATTAAGCCTGCGGTCATACTGACTCCTTTGACTTCTTCTTTGACTTTTTGTATCCCTGTCGAGGGGAACGTCATTCTCCCGAAGTTGCCTTGACTCGTTCCTCACCTTAAGACACACACTAGAATAGTTCTTATACAGAACCTGGATTTCCAACTGCGAAAATACCTCCTGAGTGCCGGTGTTAGATTTGAAAGCTTCGAAAGCAGAGCGATGACGTGGAACCGAAGGTGGTGGTCTTACAAAAGCGTTCGAAGACGATTCCGTTTTAACAGGGGCATGGGGTACTGAAGACGATGGCTGTTCGTACCTTGCTGCCGGTTTAACCACCTCGGGCATTTCGTTATTAAACATTTCCCATCGATTTGAACAAGACTGTGGCATACTGCCGATATTTGCCGGCTGCAAATCAGAGCAATGAATAAGAGTAAAAAACACCTACGAGGGACGACAACCTGCCGCATCATTGAAGGAGATGGGTTTAAAGGTTCGACGTTTAATCGGTTCGAGGTCGATGAATGAGGATTAAGCTTCGGCACTGACGGCTGTTTCGATTTCCAATCGTTGGTGGCGCCAAACTCACTTGCCCGTGTTTTCGATTCCTCCTGTATGAATATGAAGGAAATAATAAGAAACATATGAAGGAAAGGATTAAATAAATATAATAAACCATTGTTGCTAGTTCGCAATGCTCATTTCCAGGTATACTAGAATGACTAGATGGTGGTTACGTATCCTTTATAGATATCCTCACTTTTGACTTGTTATCGTAATTAGTTCTTTCAGTTTGAGTTTGTCTCTATGCATCATATTTATGTTTTTGACGGCATGTCGAATGACGTACTAAACAATAAACAATAAATAGGTATGAATGTATATAAACTAAATAATAAACGCTATCAGCTGTCCTTTGAACAATTGTAAGCCTCAGGGCTTTTCCAATCAATCGATAGGCGATGTTTACGACCTAGCTTCTACTCTAGCCTGCGCAGAAACGTTCTCATGCTCCGATGAAATGTACTGACTACAGGCTTCTTCGCAAGCTTCGTATAAAACGCGTGATCAGGTGCCGACGGGGGTACTCGCCGTCGGCACCTGATCACGCGTCGCAACCGCCGCTCGACCTATGGTCATCAACGGCAGATTCGCCTATGGTCTGACAAGCCGTCGCGATCGTCAGCACGCCTTAAGGAGATCGTCCTGTTAACTCTGATTCCTAATAATTCATTGTATTAGATGGTGTGGCTACAGTTTATCGGAGGAGATTGTAAGAACCAATGGTAGCAGCGAGCCCTCCACCGACGGCAGACAGAGGGACGGTGAGTCCAAATTTTCGATTTGATTTTTTTNTTTATTGTTTTCCGTGTTTGCTTTCCTATCCTCTATAATGTAGCTGCTTTCATTTTCTCTTTTCTTTTTTCCCTTCCATCGTCTTTTTTCTCTTAGCTCCGTCACAGTAAGCCCAAAACGGTGGCCTTTAGACACGTTAGTAGGAGTATAAGACAGCAATCCCGTAAGGGCTCTTTGCAGCATTGACGGGATCGTAGCCTCTACTTCAGCATAGTAAACTTTCATATTGGCCAGTCTGGCCGCCCGGCTAACGTCGGGATTCCTTCCTTTTTATGGTGCCGCCCGGCCTCGCCGGGCGCTCCTCCTTACTGTAAAAAATTTGCTATGCGTAAATAACACTTCGGATTCTCCTTTTTCTTTGAAAGCTCTACACCTTCATTATTAGCTCCGGAATGGAAGCGTTTTTTCTGTATTATAATTAGAGTGGGATTGCCCGGCTATCGCCGGGCATACTCCTTCTTATGTAAAGTCGGTCCGAACGGCTAACGCCGGTCTTCCCTCCTTCTTTGACAGGGTTGTAGTGATCGGCTGAATCTCCACCTCTTCTTTGAAACAAATAATACTTTCCTGCACACGAAGTCTGACACAGGACTAGCAGGATATTGGTATTCAGTGAGAGTCGGTACTTATGTCTTTAATTGGGAGTCTCGATCTTTTGCTCTCGTTCTCGAAGATAAATACTCAATAAAGATTGAACTATTAAGTAACCAAAGCCCTGGGCGGTACTTACAAATATTTCGTGTGATGATAACACCATTATCAGATGTTATCAATAAACTTTTACTTCACATAGGTAACATTAGTTAAGAACTCCAAATAACTGGCGGTCGGTTGTTTGTCGCAAATGATATCGAACAATGAGGATCCTTCATCAAATCACAAACCTTGCTGGGTAGCGGTCGTAATCTATTGGGTTGTCCGAAAAGTTTCCGCCGATTTCTGACACCCCGGATTTATCAACCGTTGTACAAAAGATCAAGGACCCAGCCGCATAAAGTGATATGTTTTCTGAAAGAGTAGGTCCTCCTCTATATTCCTGTTAGGATTCTGTCAACATATGCCGAAGTTTCTCTGTACAGGACTCGTATGAAACTGGAGAACTACTGCGCATTTTCGACGTTTGAAATATTTCTTCTACCACAAGGATTAGAATGCGGCTCAAGCCGCATGAAAGATACAGGACGTTTGAGTAGGCTATGCCCTTGAGGAACGTACAGTGCATGACTAATTTGCGGAATCCAAACAGAGTGAATTTGAATTCGAAGACCGGCAACTCTTAAGGGGACTATCATCAGTTTAAACGATCAACTCGAAATGCTAACCGAAGCCAATCGGCACATCACTGCTCATGGAATAGGACAAGGGCTTAGCGTTTCGAAATTAACCATTCATGGTCATCTGCATACGCNATATCTCGCAAAAGGAGCGGGCGCAATGCAATGGACTGCGCCTCCATGTGCGACTCGTTGCTCGAAATAAATAAAAGTAGCCGTTTCTGAAACGCATGAGCACGAGGGACGAAAATTGGATTGTGTACAGCAATAAGGAGCAGAAACGATAGTGCGGATGACTATGCCGAGTTGCTGATGGGATTTCAGGGAAATCACTTACCATGAGCTGTTGTCGCACAATCAAAAGATGCCTTATTAAAGGTACCATAGTTAGCTAGAAAATATGATGGAAGCGATAGACCAAAAGCGATCCGAAGTGGCCAATTGTGAGGGCGTAATCTTCCAACAGGGTACCTCCAGACCACACGTATTTTGGCCACTCGTCAAAAGCTGCTAAAGCTCGGGTGGGATGTCTTACCACACCCCCCATATAGTCCAGACATAGCAGCATGAGAATAGGACTTGCTTGGGTTTCTGCAAAATCCTTGAAAGGAAAATCGTTAAATTCGCTGGAGAACTGCAAAAAGCACCTGAGCTGGTTTTTCGATTTTAGGTCTGGAGCCTTCTATGGAAGAAGGGAACTGGAACCTTCAAGAAGATGGCGAATCCTTACTGAACAGAATGGAGGACATACATATTGTTCGAAATATGGATTTCTTCTTCTAGGAATTTTCATTCAAAGATGAATCAAAAATCGGCAGGAACTTTTCGGACAACCCAATAATAGCAAGAAATGAACAAAGTTCTAACCTGTTTATCGTAATGCCGCTGAGAGATCTCTATAACTGCACTTACCACTCCTTTTGTCACCCTACACTACCATCTCATCTTATCGAATGAAAAATACTGAACAACCAAAGCTACATCGTAAATACCAAAGGGTTAGAGTTTTGATCGGTAGGTGGCTCTTGCTCTCTTAGGCCCCTTAACTTCTGTTGTCGCTTGTCATCGTTTTCTGTCATCGAGTACCTACGATCCCGTCATATCCTACATCCCTTAGCAGAATGCCGGGGTTCCTTTGTTAATACGAAAAGCTGTAACCTTTCAAAATTTGAACTCTTTAGGTCCACAGAAACAGAAGTTATGAATTTCCGCTCA